ACATGCTTAAAGTTAAACACACTTAAACAAATTAACTAAATATTTTTAATTAATTATGTTTGTTTGTAATGCTACGTGTAGGTATTCAAAATAAAATTATCAAAGTTAAACATAGAGTTTTATTTTCAAAAAACAAACTTATTAAGGGCAATTTCACTGCCCTTGCCCTTGCCTCCTAAAACGGGTGGATGCTTTAAGCCAAATATTTACAAGGTTGTATAAAACATAATAATGATTACAACGTATTTTTAGGTTTGTTGGTTAAGAGGGTCAACATTTGCACCCGAGGTCCCGACTTCAATACCCCCTCTTCTATTATCGCTTGTATTGAAAATAATCTGAGTCATTGTCAAGTAAAAATCAAAAGAATAACATGTTTTCATTGTAATCAAACGAATACAAAGAAACGTGAAACTAAGGGTACATCCTTCTTTAAGCATATCAATAAAACTCTATGCAAAGACAATTTCCATCAACTTAAGGTATTGGCTAGAATACATACATGTATATAATACAATCACAATCTAACGGTCAGATACACTCATGTGAATATAATACAATCACCATCTAATCGTCGAGATCGTGAATCCATTTAGTACATGTACGTATGTTGTAGCCAAATCCCCAAATTTAACTCTATCTTGTGCAACAATCATCGGATCAACAGAAACGCTGACCCGTTTACAAGTTCTCAAATAACGCAAACAAAACCATATATAATTTTACAGACGCAATCATACAGCAATAAGTCTAGTGGTGCATTACTCTGAAGTGGCTAGAGCTGAATGCAATACATCTTCGAGATACTTCTCCGCAGCAGCATATTGTCTTTTCTTGTCCTCGATTGCTAAAGCAGCCAAAGCTTTATCCTGCACACATACATATCTCATAAACCTCCCCATCTTTCTAGGACCTAAATAAACTGTGATCAATTAACCAAAGTAGAAAACTACCGGAGGCAAGTCTTGGTAGCTTCTCAAAGTATCAAGGACGGGCTTTGTCTTCTTCTCTAATTCCTTTCTGTGCTCGGCCAATTCAACCAGCACCCCATGGCTAATCTCTGGGGTGTAGCCCACGCGATTAAGAGTTTCCTGTCCATTAAATTTACAGCACAACTCTTTTTAGGAATAAATAAAGAAAATTGGGTTTTTAAAAGCCCTATATTTTACAAAAAAAAATAAAAAATTTGGATGAGAAAATGCATTCTTCTTGTGACTTAAATATGAAATTTCAATATACTAGCCAATAGAGACCGATGAACAATTATTGCTAATTTTGTATCATCTACCAAGCAGAAATTTGCTGGCTACATTCTACCTATAGCATGATTGCTCCCAAACTACGCTACTCTTAGGCAATCACCAAAAGTAAGAATTGCCAAGCTGCGACAGGTTGAACTCCCAAATTTTCTATCAATCGTCACCATTCATAGAAAGCCCACCTTTCTTTATGATAAAGGCAATGCAGATGCTTTATGAAATGCACATTTTGTCATGACCCTGATTAGTTCTGTGTTCCAGCATTCTGGAAACATGGGCATGCATTCAAAAAACCAACAATATAATTTGTTATCAACTTCATGCAACTTGAGCTTAATTATTTTCACAGTTATAGAATTGTAAATTTATAAGATCCTGGAATACATATCAAAGTTCTATGCGCCATTAACTATATATTTTCTTTTTCCAACTCCAAATTTTCTTTTCACCTCATAGGAGGTATATCTTTATTTGTATAGCATATCGTCTCCACTAGCACCGCCCAAAAACTCATGCATGCATGAATATTATATATATTGGCACCACTCCACTAAAACGGTGCCAAAGTTATTGCTTCAGTTTGGATGTATAACAAGATAACTCTTCAGATGATGCAATTTGTTTTATACTCTTAGATACTAATGCTCAAGAAATATCCACCCATACAAACTGGAACATGCAGATGATGCAGTTTGTTATATGAGCCTCTTACCCAGAGATTCCTTATAATCACCTTCTACAACCACCTCCTACTATTTACACACCTAAAAACAAATGGTAACAGTACCATCTACGTAGTCTGTTCCATAGACTTACCCATTTCATGTTATCTCACCATAAATGAATTTGATTTGAGTGCATGACAATCTTATATTCTCTACAAGTCATTGACCAAACTTTGACACCAACAAAACAAAGTGCAGGAGCCGAAAATAAATACCTTGAAACGGACGGTCTCTTGATTGTACTGTTTCTCCTTACCAAGCATGAGCGCCAAGTTGTTCTTCCAATGCTCAACATGCGCCTCACATTGGCCTGCATCATCTTCTAGTTGGGCAAGTGTTCTACCAAAGTTTGAAAACTCAGCACATTCAGAAAAACCAAAATCCCACATTAAAATCCATACTCTTAACTTTACAGTTCTTGGAATATATCCCACAAGATCGTACCTTTTCAAATAAGTTAACCTGGAAATCGCCTTTCGAGTGTAATCAAGAAGAACATTAGACTCTTTTTGCACTTTAGCCCTCTTCTCCTCCACACCCATCTTCCTCAACGATATATCCCCCATCGCCACAAGAAAACTAAAAAGCAAATCTCTTATGTCAGTCCAGCATTCAAACAATGTACAACCCACCTTTCATATGTCATTTCAGAATTCAAACAACAATGCAATACCCACATTTCTTATCATTATTTAAGGTGAACGAGTCAGTATTCAAAGCAAAATGTAAATCCGGCATTCGAAAATACACACCTGCTGAGCTCAGTGTCTCTTATATTCAACAAATTGGCTACATTGGCTAAAACCTGAGCTGAAGACACCACATTCGATGGCAAACCCTCCTGTGCCAAACCCACACTCTCCAATATCTCTCTGATCCTCGCAGCTAACGCCCACAAACACAAAATTTCAAATTTTGAAAAGAAAAACACGTACAAAATATACAAATTAAACAATATATGTATAGGAAGAAAATTGAAGCAGCAGATACCTTGGGCTCGGTATTCGGAGGCTTTGAGGCGGAAATCGGAAGCGAGGATCTTGGAAGCTTGAGTTTGGGCTTGGGAAAGAGTGGCAAGGTTGTGTAAATACGCCACCGAACGAGGGGTATATTCGAAATCGGGCACTTCTTTTCCGGCTTGGGAGAACTCTTGAGTGAGCCATTGCTTTACGTCGCCGATTCGAGATGCGTCCGAACCGCCACCGCCGGCGCTGCTGCTCTTCGACGTCGTATCGCTCACAGAGGAGTCGGTCATTGCGGAGGGATTGCTGAATCGATTTGCACCGTTGGCTCGTTCGTTGGTTTTTAGATTTGGGGAATTATTTGATTTGAATTATATTGAAACTTTGGTATGTTTGCATTTTAATTTAGGAAAAATAATGAAAATGGTTTGAAAACTTTGAGTTTTAACGATAAGGATGAAATAAAAAGTAAAGTAAATAGAACCAGGTTTGATTTTTTAGTGTAAAAATGTGTTATTTAGTTAAAGTAAACAGTACCGTGAACTTTTCGTTAAAAATCATTTTTAATTTTTACAAGAGTATTTCACACCACTCGACTCTATTTCAAAGGGAGGAGCCATACTATTGGCGGAAATAACGATATGTAAAATTACTCATGGATATATTGATATTTGTTGATTTGCTCGAAAAGAAAATGTAAAATTCGAATGTCAAACACTGATTTAGACGAAATATAAGAGTATTTTCAATATTTCATTGATGTTATCGAAATTTAAAATGAAACTTTAGGTAATGTCAAACATTTATTTAGACAAAATGTAAGAATTTCTTCAATATTTGACCGATATAACAAAAATATTGACAAAATCTATGGTTTTCAGGGTGAAGAAATATTGACATTATCGAAAAAATTTAAAACATTGGGAGGAGTTCAATTTTGTAATTAAAAGATTGTTTTCTAAAACATGGGTGATGTAATTTTAATTAATACGTACATAAAAGTATATGGTGGTGACAATGAATCTGTAACTTGAATAGATTGAGGTTAATTGTATGATAAGCAAAATTGTCATGTTATTGGAATTTAAATTTGGGATTTAAACTGAGGGCTTGTTTTCCAAGGGCTGATTAAAACAACACAAAAAGCTTCATGCAGGCCAACTATGGCCTGCACCGCAGGCGGCAGCAGCCGAAATAACCGGTTACCGGCCACCCCGGTGTGCTGGCAGAGTCATTTGTTGCAAAATTATAGGCTTATTTTTATCTAACCCGGATTTTGGCATAGAGACGTTCAGTCATAATCCAGCGCACGGTAACTTTGTGTGAATCAACGTTACGTGTAACTCGATTTAATCTCATTTTGTTCCTATAACTCAAAATTCGCCATTCTCAAAATTCGCTTTGCTTTGCCCTCTAGAACTTCGTTTCGAATTTTTTATCCCAACCTGCCGCCTAAAACATGAGTCGTCCCTATAAAGCTCAAATTTTGCTCAATATTGACTTAGATCTGTTAGTTTCTAGTGTAGATTTAATTCGGATGAGTAAGGCTAATCAATTTTTTTTTTATTTATCACTTCAATTTCTTTTAAACCTAATATTTTCTGATTGTTAAATGCTAACGCATAAGAGAGATTTATAATCAAATTGATTACATATATGACATAGCCTTATTGGGTGGTGAGTTACATATATGTTTTAGGAGACGGCCTATAAATTTCAGGAATAAGAAAGAGAATTCACAAGTCAAAATGGAACGAATTTTGAGTTTCTCGGAGTAAAGTAACAACTTTCAAGATACATAAGGCAAACGAGATTAAAATGGAATTTCAGGAACATAGCTAAAAATAAGTCAAATTGTTAATTAAAGCCATCCGACTGCCAATAAATTTGTAAACCATATAACATCCTGTCGATCATGATAAGTCCCAATTTTGGAGCAATTCATAAATTGCTTAGTTCAGTGACCGGTGTTTGAGCGTGTAACGCTCGAACAAGCCGTCACTGAACGACACTCTCAAGAGAAAGGAGAATTTGACCAATGAAAGGCTAAAAGCTTACCAGAATCAGGAATCAACCATTCATTAGCTACGGCCGGACCGAGAAATGAAATTCTTTATCCATATGACAGACATGATACGAAATAAAAAGGTTTCTGATCGTCAAGGTTGAAAATACATGACATCACATAAACTAGACACTGGAAACTAGAAAGGCCACATTCCTCAAAAGGATATGATACAAAAGTGCACCCAGAAGAAGGCATCACCAGATGCAACGGTATGTAACATGAGACTCGGTAATATCACCACTGTAAGTAACTTTCACTACCTGCCCCTTCTCAAGTCCGTAGTACCTTGAAATTGCATCTTTTCGTGACAGTCGGGGAAGCTGCAGCAGAACAGTTGATGAAATTAAAACAGCGCAAACATTACAGTTTAGGTACCAGTCAGAAGCCAACCAACCATCTACGTGAAATGTAATAGTAACATACAGTTTTTTTACACTATAATGCAACATTTGATGTACGATTATACCAAAGCACTTCCAATACAAATGTAGGTGATTCTTCTTACTGGGACAGTCCAATAGTAAAATTGACCGTTTCAAGGAATCACGGTGGGTGGAAAGAGTGAGAAACAAGACTGCTAGATGACTACCATAAGTTAACCAAAGATAAGAAAGCCTCCAAAGCTCGAAGGTTTATATGACCAAAAGAAGGGAGATCCATGAATCGTGAGGTAGGGACAGTCAGAGTTTCCTCAAATTGGGGTCAAGGAAACCAGTTCACCATAGTTTGCTCTGCATAATATACGTCTATGGGCACAAAGTAGTATCAGTTGCCATTTCGATATGCGATCTCAGCTGAAGTTCCCAATAGAACAATATAATGAGATAATCACATATTGATCAACAATAACATTAGAGAATTCCTTCAATATGTGGCCACTTAAAATATGCGCACTTGAACGTTTATGTGTCAAGTTTTAGTCTGTACTTGTATTAAAGTTTCAATTTAGTCAACGCAATTTCAATTGTTTTAATCAAGTGTTCCCCCTATCATAGTATCATGGATGCATCAAAGATGTTAGACAAATTTATGTGGTGATTTGATCATTGTCACCATTTATATTTCCTTTATCTAAATATGGAGTTAATACGAATGACATAACATATAAATGGGTCCAACCCAATTCACTCTCCAAACCATCCCTACCAACCACTCACACATAAAGTCGTAACACTCTTTTCAAACAACATATCAGAAGAAATTTCAAACAACAGTGGGCAACCACAGCAAAGTCAGATAAGCAATTCAAAACCATTCAAGATTATTCAGAAATTCAGAACGATATGAAGGATCTCCAGAGAAAGAAAATCAGAGTCTGGTTTTTCTTTACTTGAGTTAATAAAATAACCTGCTTTTCTTCTATGTTGTACTTCTTTAGGAGTTTTTGTTTCTCTTTGTCCGTCAGCACCCTATGCTTTGGCTTCAAGACATGCTTCGTGATATTAACAAGCAAGTCGGTAATCTGCCAAACAAAAAAAGATATTATGACAGGAGTGAGAAGGAGAACTTCTAAGTGAACAAACCATTAAAAAGAAAAGGCAGAAACACTTTTACAGTTAACAAGGAAAAAATAATAATTTAATATGCTATGAGAAAGTGAGAACAAATGTCAAGTGAAAAACAAAAGGCTAAAGACACTGTTAAAAAATCATATTGTGAAATGCTTTCCATGAAAACCTAAAGAAATAACCAAAACACAACCGTACATACCTTGGTAAAAAAATTAACCAAGCAAATAATTGAGGAATTTTCGTATACCAAAAAAAGGGCTTATTTTTAGCTATGACACTTGTACTCTTCACCGAATCTCAATAGCCCCTACGCTCTACATTGGCTCACTTTAACACCTACAATCTTCCTCAATGTCCCACTTTACCCTATTTCGTCAAATACGTTCAAAGGAGCAGTTGATTTGCTAGCGTGGCATGGACAATCTGGTCTTTTCAACTATGTTAGTAAGACCTGTGAGTGCAAGGATGTGGGCTAAACTAAAACCAGGGTTTGATTTCTTCATATTAAGGAAAATAAAGAAGAGGAGAGCGATGAGGTAGAGAGTCTCCCTAAGAATCTTTGCAAAAGGATCCGAATACATTGAAATTGATTCACGAATCTTGAAATTCAACCATCTCTTTTTATATTTTTTCTCTTAGCCTGGAGAAATCAAACCCTCATGTGAGTTTAACCCACCTCCCATTACCCATGGGTTCCACTAACATGCCACGTCACATGCCACATAACCAATGTAGTTGAAAAGACTAAATTGTCCATGCCACGTCAACACAATTAACGGCAGTTGACCTCCCTGAATCACCTTCCCCATTATTCTTGATGCCTAGATATAAAGAAGCCAACTTTATCACTGCATTTTGATCCTTAAAGGCTTAAACGGCACTTAGTTCATCAATTGTATCTTCTAAGAGAGTGCTTATAATGCCTCTCCAGTCATAAGCCATCCATAAAGCTAATCTAGAGAATAAGAAACGTAGTCAAATGTAATCGCCTTGCAGGACTTGTTATGTAAAAGAATAAAATGCAAAACGTAATTGACATTCGGAAACAAACCTGGAATATTTCAGTTTTGAACGGATAAAGCTCCAGAGTTTTTAGAGCTTGGTTTGTTACTTGGTTTTGGGTAATTAATATGAGCCCCGTCAAAGTGTCCTTATTAGCAATCTGAGAATGTAGCCCACGAATCACATTAACCTTCACGATACCAGGGCCACAGTAAATGACCAGCATCTGCAATCCAAACATTAATGATAAATACCAATTGCTCATAAGTTATTACTAGGATCACTCACTCTTATTTCAAGTGAAGAGCATAGCATATACATCAGTGCTACGGTTTATGCCTTAGTCTAGCATCCATGCATAATACTTTAACATTTCAATTCGATGGTAAGTAGGAGAAATCACATTGACTAAAGTGTAAGGGAATTGTGGAAGCAACCGAGGTTAAGTAATCATATCTGGTCTGGATAAAGTCTGCATGCATATCACTAACAAGTAACAACATATCTAACATCCCCTTTAAGCTGTTAGCCTGTAAGGAGGACCTTCCAGCAGTTCAGTTTGTACTTGGCGGCTTGGCCACATCATTTACTTTATATTAGAATATGACACTAGAGATGATACCAAAGCATGACAGCATACTAATACAACCACATGAAGTATTACAGAAAACAAAAAATTGTTAACTTGTCGTGACTTTGTTCATATGAAAGCCAATCAGGGAGTTGTAACTTGTAACTATTACTTAAGATGCAATTTTAAGGACAAATCGGAAATTTATTATGAACTATAACATAGATCTGTCCAAATGAACAAAGGGTTTAGAGATGTAGTATAAATATGGGAAAGAAGATCAAGAAGTATACGGAAACATAGATTCTGAAGTTTATGGGGACAGACATCCAAAAGAATAAATAATCACTTTGCAATATGATACAGACATCGAACTCAAACAAGCTTCTAAAATATGAAACACACACTCCAAATTAAGCATATGAACTGCTTGCCAAACAACAAACAGATGCTAAAAAACAGTATCCAGATCTAATCGCAAACCTCTCACCAATGGTAAAACCTCAGTTAGCAGATTAGCTAAAGCCTGGATTTTGATCAAGTAATTTCATATCCTCCACAGGAAAATCCAGCATCTTTTCTTTTCACATAACTTTTGTAAATTCCCTAATCTTATATCATTTATTGCAACCTTCAAATGAAATTAAGCCATCGGTGGCCTGGTAAACATCTAATTACAACTGCGCCTGCATGCATAGGTTGTATTGAGATTTATCAAAAACAGAAAAGACACACAGGACCAAAGAAGTCACAAGCACTGAATCAGCTTTGCTTCTTCTTTTAGAACCATAAACACAAAAACCGCAAGGAAGCAAACGAACAGTGCGTACTCATTGGTAGTGCAATCCTACACATATTGCTAAAACCCTAAACCCTAATTGTTTGCTAAGCCTCAAAATTTCCAGAAGTTGTAAGCACGTAGATCATGAAATCCGACACAATACAAGTACAACAATAGACCAAAACGACCCAGAACCAGAAATTCTTCTTTCTACTCCCTTCCATTTTCAAGTAAATAAAAATACATAAAATAAAATAAATTCAAGAAAAAGAAAGTCATGAATTATTTACCCTGTCGGAAGGGTCGGCGCAATGAGTGGCGGAGAAGCGGAGGCGCTCGATATCGGGAGTTGGGCCGTGGAGGAAGCGGAAGTCTTGGAGAGAGAGGTCGATTTCGGAGGCGGGAACAGAATAGCCTCTGTCCCTCAGCATCTCCAGCACCGTTCTCCGTGACAGGTAGTATCGGTGGCTCTCCGCGCTGCCGTCGTCCACGTGGCTGGTCAAGCAAGGCCCCAGAATCTCCCCGTTGGTTTCCCCATTCGCCGGCTCTCCCTCCACTTCCATCTCTCTCTCTCTCTCTCTCTCTCTCTCTCTCTCCCCCCTGAGACCAGTCTTAAAAGACTTGAACTCAACTGAGAAAGTACACTCTTGCTTTTGGGGTTCTGGGGAGTGGTACAGTGAGGTGAACCTTACGGGATCTTATCATGTGTACGTGTTTCCTTTTGTTCTTGGGGTTAAGCAAGCATTTCCCGGGTCAAAACAATCCCAACCGTTGCTGAGTTATTACAATAAATCAACCGTTCAGATTTAATACTAAGTCTGCTAACCAGTAAACTCTTGATATGCGCAGGAGAGTTATGGGCGGGCCGCGGATGCGATCAGTACTCTTGATATTCTGATCTTTTATAGTAATTTCCTCAAATTATGTATTTTGTAATCATCTTTTGTATTTTACTGTTAATTTTGGGCACCTATTATTCATTGTTTTATATTAAAATACACTTATATATTAAAAAGGATATACATAGTTTACCAAAAAAATTAAATGAATTTATACATGGGCTCAAATATTAAGAGAGAACAATATTGCATGTGGTCTAATATCTTAGTGAATATGGTATTGAGTTTCCACCCATGCATCCCAAGTTTGAAATTTCTCATTTCCTAAATTATTGTAATAGTTTCGAATCATTCCCTCCAGTTAATAATAATATTATTAATAATAAATTAAAAAGAAATAACAATAAATTACATATACGAAAATATTCAAAATCTATCAAATATACAAAATTCTAAATTATGTTACGAGATTTTTTTACTACAAAAATTTTGAATTTGAAAATTGAGATGAGGTCCAATCCAATTCTAAAATTTTGGAATAGAAATTGGAAATGATGTTTCTAATCTAATTCGTCTGAAAATCACCCATATTTTGGTGTTAAGGACTTCTTCCTTAACTCATTATGTCCCATGTTCAAATTATATTCCCTCCATTAAGTGTGGATTAATTAATATATGATATCACTTGTAACATAAACACTTTGTATTGGACTTGAACATGTCCCCTCCCCAAATTAAAATTAATTAGTGTTGAATAACGCTTTGTATCAGACTCGTTGCTTCGTTGGAACTCGGAACTTTATTCTATTGGCAGGTCATTCGCATTTCACAGTGTTGATTTGTTATTATGATCTACTAAACTTTGTAATTAAGTCTTAATTATTCGTTACAGATATTTAAGAAGCCAGTAATACTAAGTAGACTAAGTCTAGATATTTAATAATACAATCATCAACTTTCATGTTATTTAGTTTACAAAATTTGGTCTGCAAATTTAGTTCTCCTAGCATTACCTTTAAGAAGCATGTGAATGTTAGTTTTTGTATAACTGTATATTTATATTAAGAGGGTGAGAAAATATATTAATATCGAATTTGTCATTTATAAAGTTTGAACTTAAGAACAAAAATACCATTGAACTGTGGTACATTCAATCATGTTTTTCTAAGGTTCTCATTTTGAGAACCTGCGAGGACCGAATATATATTAACTACAAGATTATATTCGTGTAGATCCAAAGACTTAAAATATTTGACATTTTAAAAAAGTAAAACAAGAAAATGAGTTTTCTTATGGTTTATGGACTTTAAGTTGGTTTTACTTTCTTAAGTTGCTAAATATTTGAATACTTTGGCTCTAAACTAATATAATCTTATGGCTAATATACATTTGGTTCTACTCAGAATGAAGACCTTAAAAGAGCAGGACTGAATGTACTACAATAAAGTAGGATTCCTTTCCTTAAGTTTGAGCTATATGAACAACAAATTCGATATTGATATATATTCTCACACTCTTAATATAAATATACAGTTGTATAAAAGAATAATATTTAAAACGAAAAAAAAATGTAGCCTTTAACATTCAATTTCAATATACCCTTCTCATTTAAAAAAATATATATATCAATTCACCATTTAGCTTCAAGGCAATTTCATCGTATCAAAGATATGTTTTTCCATTGATTTAAACACTACAATCATGAACAAAAATTTTCTCTCCCCAGCCGGGTGAGAGCTGTTCTCTCTGAGTGAGAGTTTTCTCACTGTATGTGAGTGTTCCCTTTCTTTGTCTCCAGTTCAACCGTCGGCCTTAGTTTCGGCCACAATCAATGGCCGTCCCTTTCGTTTTTCATTTTCTATTTCCTCCCTTCTGTTTTCAGTTGGAACCACTCTTTGCCCTGATCGGAAAACTTCGTTTCGTTGTCTCCTTTTTCTTCTCTCCACCTTATTTTCCCCTCCATGCATTCACTCTTTTCACCTTCTTTCCTTCCCACATGTGATCGCTCTCTATCAATTTCACTTTGGATCCAATCTGATCCCACTTTGTTCCACCGTATTCAACGACTTTATCGGAAGATGTGTAGAGCCTCAGCTCGGGTGTTCACATCACCACCTTCCACCTGTGGGTCAATCTCGGCACTATTGTCAGTGGTTCCATTGACTTCCTCCCTGGTTTTATACCATTGGTGGGGGCGGATTTTTTCTGTGTATAGTTCGACAGATGACATCGACGTTTGCTTCTCTTTTTATTGTTGGGGCTTGGTTGGTTTTCACCTCTGGTGTTTGTTGGGTTGCTGGTTCATGGTCGTCAGAGCTTGCTTTGATGGCGGCAAGGGAACTAAGCGGCTAGGATTTTTAGTTTTTTTCTGTGTCTTTCTTTTTAGGGCTCAACCCTTGGGTTGAGCTGTTGTTGTGCTGGTCCATTTTTGGTAATGAAAGTTTACCTTTTATCAAAAAAAAAAAAAAAACGCTACAGTCAAGTATGAATTTGGTAATAGAATTCGCAAGAGTGTTAATTTTTGAGCAAATTGAGATTAAGTACTAACTGAGACACTGATTTTAAGATTAAATTAAATTAAATCAAAACAGGACCTTTGAAAAGTGTTCCAAACTTGACTTCATACCGCTAGTGTTTAAAATATCGATATTGTAAATTTGTAGAAATATTAAGGGATATGTCAAATATCAATATCGATTTCGATTGCTTTCGATGGAAATGATGAAAATTTAAAATAAAACTTTAGGAATTGTCAAACATTGATTTGGACGAAATATAAGAGTTTTTTCTGAAATTTAACAAATGTGTTAGAAATATCGATAATATTTTAGTCTAAACTTAAAAGTTTTTCGTGAAGTTTAGATTTCACCCTACTTCCATATCTTTCTTTGACTTTTTGGATATTTTCTTAGAAATATCTATCGTATTAAAAAAATTGTAAACACTGCATACAACCAACCAAGCATGCATCGCTCGGATTTCTAGCCTTGGCCTGGAGCAATTAACTTCCTGTCCCATATTCACATTTTCTTCACACCGTTTCACATCGATTTCAAAATAGTGATTCCACCATTAACATCCGTTGCCCGTGATCAAGAATTTGGATTACGCTATTTCCCAAGGGACAATACTTGGTACTCACTGAGAGTACCCAAATTGCTAACCATCTTACGTGGACCACTAAATTCAAGGAAAGGACCACCTTCGGATTCCTTTCATTAAATTCATCAAATCCCTAAATTCAGATTTTGAAATTTGATTTAACGATTACAAACAGCTGATTTCTTTAAAAGTTATATTAATTTTAACTGTTAAATTAAATTTCAAAAACCCGATTTAAAGATTGGGTGGAAGGAATCCCTTTCCACCATCACCTCCCTCTCCATTCTCCGAAGCCATGAAAGCTCCACGCCCTCAAATTTCACCAAACCCATGACAGATCAGATCCATATTGCTAACCCTATGAAGGATATTTCACCCAGAAGAAAAATGATGAAGGAGGTTGAAATTATTGGGTAAAATTTCGAGAAAGTTGGTGTTCGGTAATGCCATAGATTCCACGATGGAGATTTCGATGAAGACGACAGGGTGCTGGTATGTGTTCCACGAGAAAGAATAGGATGATTATGGGACGACATCGACAGGGAAAGGATGGAGGAGAAGTGAGTTGCGCCGACGAAGGAGACGAGGAGTGAGGATGGAAGGGGAGGCGTAGAGGAAGAAAGGAGGTGTTTTTTGGATAAAAGGAGGTGTTTGGGGGTGGGGATAGTATTGTGTTTGGTTACTCGTGTACTGGGCCATTTCATATTGTCAGTTTTCAGTTTTTTGTGCTTAAAATACGAGAAAGGTATAATGGAAAATAGAGTGACGAATAAGGACGGTGAGAGGGTCAGAAAGAAATAAAAAATAATAATGAATGGAAACAAAATCTTGAGAGTAAAAATAACTTAAATAATTTTTGTTAAAAAAATTCTTTACATCTTTTCTTGTATCCTTTCTCACTCTGCTTTATCTCTCATTCCTCCAAAATCTTGAAAGTAAAAACAACTTAAACAAAATAATTATTCAACGGACTTGGATTGTCTGCCCTCTAATTGTGGTGCCCTCCCCGTGCCCTCCTGTTTTTGTGGTCACGGTTAAGCCACGTCAATATTTTATATTACTATTTCTTTTTGTTTTATTATTTTTATAAAAAAATAATATAAAATATTAACGTGGCTTAACCGTGACCACACAAAACAGGAGGGCACGGGAGGGCACCGAAATGGGAGGGCAGACAATCCAAGTCCTTATTCAACGGACGCCAAATCTGTTCCAACATGGCAAATGATTCATTTTATAAACCATACTCTGCTCAAGGCAATAAGGTAAAATTAAAATAAAAGAATGTTCCAATGTGCATCTGTTTTCTCTTTTGACACAAACGATATTGGGAAAGGAGGATTCGAACACAAAAGCTCGGGTTCAAGGGAGGAAGCTCTCCACCAACTAAGCTACAAACCCTTTGCCACTGTGTATCAGTTTTTCGATACCAATTGCAAAAGTTAAGGCTGAAGGAGCATTGCAAATTGGTACAAACAAGTTTTGGTACGTACTCGAACACAAAATCGATGTAATTCAAAGAACTGCAAAATTGAATGTCATGAAAATATGAAATTTATTGCATATTGTTCAAGAAGACAATGAACACAAAGAACCAAAATCCTAACAAAAATTAAACAAACTTGAAACAAAATCCCCTAGGCACTTAAGAACAATAGCTATACGCAATCAGTAGTTGGC